CCCACCCCCCTTTTTCTCCCCAATCTCGTAATATTACATTGTTCGCTTATAATAATGACTAGCTGGGACCCATTTCGATGAAAGGAATGATCGGTGCATTAACATCAACTGAAAGTCATTGGCCTATTAAATTTACACTCTACTGGAACGGAGCAATAAATCTTGAGAGATGCAAAAAATTAGAAGGTCTAGTTCTAGATATAATCTTGATATAATATACTCTCAAAACAAAATGCGCCTCGCGAAATATCACTTCCGCACCAGATTTTCTAAAATTACAGAAGCGTCGGCCCATAAAAGCGATCGGCGAAATAAAGAAATTTGGCTCTTTGCAGCTAAAACTGTCTCAAAACTGAAAAAAACAAAACAAAACAAAACAAAGGGCGCCATGATCTGGAGAACATTTTAAAGAATCTTTGGGCGAAACCCGCATGTCGATCGACGCAGCCATTAAAAAGCCTTTTGAATAGCAAAATTCGGCCACCACAAATAGATAATAGATAATATGACATTTATATCTCGCAAATCCGTGTTACAATCATTGTTCTCATGCGCTTTACATAATAATACACACATGCATGCACATAATAAGCTGAATATATTCAGTTCTACATTCACTGAACAAATAACAGTAAATCATTCAAGCAAAATATTGCATACACTCGTTCTTACTAATGGGGAAATAATTGAGACTCATGTCAATGTCAAAAGTGCCTTAAAGACAAATATAGAACAAATTACAGTAAAATTCTGATAAGTCAACACCCCGGGACCGAAAAAAAGTGTTGACTTTGAGCAAGGTTGACTTTATCCATTGTACTACTGGCCATTGAAAATTGAAGATGGTAGCTACAAAATTACAAAGAACCTGGTAACAAGATGTTGGCCCAATTTCAGAGGGTATAATTCCGAAGTTGTCTCCAAAACAAGAGCTAATGAGTGAACAAAGTAATTGGAGGTGTGTGCACCACTAGCTCAGGCCCTAAATGCCCCTTCTTAAAATTGAATTCATATTGGGATTTAGCCCAAATTGTTGACTTTAGCAAGCCTACAAAGTCTAAAAGAATGCCATGTTTATTAATTTAACATTAATTTTTTAAAACCCCACCAAATACGTAGCTATTAATGATAATAATCAATAATGGAAAATTGAACTACTCAGTAAAAAGTCAAAGTGGTAAAAATGTAAAATCCCAAATATAGTATAGGGGACAAAATGCTTAAAAACTAATTCATGTATGTTAACTCGTAGGTTGGCATGTCAACAAGATAACACCAGAATTTGGAATATCTGGGGTTCATTCGAACATGGATTATATTCGAAAACTGCGTGGAGAATACAAGCGGAGCGCTTCCGGAAAAAACTTATGATGTCAATGTTACCACTTTAGCCGCACCAGTGTAATCAAAATTGACTACCAGTGTATTAAGTGCGAGATAGCATGTTATTCGTGCTTGCCGCTCGAGGACCTGCTGTATCGCCACAGAATATGTCGTGCTTACCGCTCTAAGTGAATAGTAAACTATCTTTTTAAGTGCTATAAAAAAAAAATCATGATGACATAATGTTTTTCCTTGTTACCTTCTCACCTCACAAAAATTTGATTTTACATTGGTTCAAGACCTCTTACACGTGTCTTACAGGAGCCACAGACATCCCCTTCCATTCCAGGCGTAAGATTATATTTGAACGTCCCTTAACAAAATTCATCAACAAAAACAATAACAGCAGCAACAACAAAAACAACGGCAACAGCATCAATAGAAACAGCAACACCCACACCATCAACGAGAACGACGACAACAACATCATCAGTTGCAACATCAACAACATTAGCAGCAACAACATCAATACCAGTAATAACCACAGCAAAGACGACAACAGCAACAAAAACAACAGCAAAAACAATAACATCAACAGAAGCTGCAACAACAACAATAACAACAACACAACCACAACCACAACAACAACTTGCTATGCTATCTTCACCAATGCTCTTTTCCAGACTTGTATCATTCACTGCTCAATTTTAAAACTAGATTCTCTTCCACTGACTTCGCGATACTTTAAAAAAAAAAAAAAAAATCTTCACATCCCACAGGACATCCTTCAACGCGAACGTGAATGTTGATTTCCTCAACACTCGATATTCCTCCAAAGGATACATGATGGAAGACGGCAACGCTTTCAACTTTTGGGTGATCACTAAGTCAGGCAAATCCATTGCTATCAACGAAGCCACGAAGTCTTGCTCTGAAACCGCTCTGATCTGGTATCCAAGATTTTGCGTGCCCTCCACAGCTCAGAAAGTCGGGTCCTTCGCGTACGGACCTGTTGGCCAAACTTTCCAGACTGACGCCTACAAGTAGGGTTTGGCTTTGTTTCTTCAGTTTAAAAGAATGTTACTGAGTTTTTCTTATGCGTTGTCAATTCCATTGCTGTTGTTATTGCTGTTTTTTCTGTTGTTATTCTTATTGCTGCTCTTTTGAAATCGATGTTATTATGTGTGTTTGTATATCATCATTATATACAATATTATGTTAACATATTTACCAGCATAGCTTAGCATAGCATAGAATAGTGTAGCATATCATAGCACCGTATAGCATAGCATAGCATAGCATAGCATAGCATAGCATAGCATAGCATAGCATAGCATAGCATAGCATAGCACCGTATAGCATAGCATAGCATAGCATAGCATAGCATAGCATAGCATAGCATAGCATAGCATAGCATAGCACCGTATAGCATAGCACCGCATAGCACAGCATAGCACAGCATAGCATAGCATAGCATAGCATAGCATAGCATAGCATAGCATAGCATAGCATAGCATAGCAATTATTGTATATTGCTATGAACCCTGCTCAAGTGACTTTTGAAGTAGTTTGACTCACATTTATTATGTTTTAAAAATTGCTTGTCCTTGCCGTTTTGAGTTACTAAGATCATGAAATCAGAAACCAAATTGTTCTATCTGATCTAGCAAAATCGTAAGATTATTCGGAGTCGTTATCAAGATATCCAAAGAATTGCAATCCAAAAAGCTTGACATGTTGTGAAACTTAGAATGTTTTTGTTCGAATTTGTCAAAACTAGGTAGGGCATACTGTGCAGATAGAACTTTGTAATTCTAGGGTAATGGACTATAACTTTTGACTGGACATAGACTAACACATTCTGTGGCGTTTTTCATGTTTTAGTAAAGTATCTCTGAGGCTAACGAAGTCTGCTGTGTTTTTAAAGGTATCAGTACGGTATATCTGAGGCTGCTTTTTCAGGTTTCAGTACGGCACCTCTGATTACTTGGTCACAGTAACCTCTGACTGCACCCTTATCAATCTGGTCCACGGCGTTTCCTCTCCGCTTGGAGGCTCCCTCACTAGCAGGTTAGTGTCTGTCTCCCGCCCTACCTTCCTCCTCCACCCCTTTCTGTCTTTCTGTGTCTGTGTCTGTGTCTGTGTCTGTGTTTGTGTTTGTGTTTGTCTCTGTGTCTGTGTCTCTGTATATGTCTCTGTGTCTCTGTCTTGCTGTCTCTCTGTCTCTGTCTGTGTTTGTGTCTGTGTCTGTGTCTGTCTCTGTGTCTCTGTCTGTGTTTGTGTCTGTGTATGTGTCTGTCTCTGTGTCTCTGTGTTTTTCTGTCTCTCTGTCTCTTTCTCCCTGTCTCTCTCTC